TGTGAGACAGAGCTGCTCTTGTCTACATTTCTATCTCTTTCTAAATGCAAAGCTCACTTATTGGGAGTGTATATTTACAGTGAAGATCTAAGATGGAAAGAGATAACTGGAGGCAGCAGGGTAAATCCCCACATCTAAACAGCTCTAAAAAGCTTTGCTCACCTTGACAGGTAACTGTGGGAACATCTGCACGGCTCTCTGTAGACACTGCAATGGCATGCAGTAGCAGCAGAAAGGGCCAGATGGCCGAAGGAGGACACATTCAAGCAATATATATATATATAAATATGTGCGTGTGCCTGCTTGTGTGCGTACATTATGCGTGTATGTGTGTTAGTGGGCATCTGCTGGGGAGCCTCAGTCAGCTCCTGTTTCATCTTGCTCCCCTGAGCAAGGAGTGACATGCAGACTTGAGGAATGGAAGTTCCAGGTGGAGAATTCCGCAACCTCCTCCAACAGATTCCTGCGGTCTCCTCCTGATGAAAGGTGATGAGCATCAGCCTCACTGCAGCTCACTTTCCATCCAGACCCTTCAGACGTTGAATCTGTGCACCTTGAACCCATTTTCTGCTCTCTGCCTCATACCAATTTACCCTTGCAATTGTGATAAGTGGCAGACTGGCCAGCGACAATTGGGGTCAATTCACTTTCAGCTCACTAAATTAAAGATGTAAAATGAAACTGCAGCAGACACAGTGAAGATGTGGCCTTCATTCCAGAGTTGCCTGGAGGTTAAAAAATAAGGTTTGTGGCCAGTAAAAGTGCTCTGAAAGCAGGACCAGCTGTGAAAATCTGGAAGCAAGAAAGTGAATGAGAAATTCTTTACACTCCTTTAACTACTGACAGAGTTGTTCCACTGTTCAAATTTAAAGGGCTCTGGGAGCACTGGGCAGTTCAGAAGTATAGATGAAGATGAATAACAGGCTGAAAAATAATGGAGATGAAGGTTTTTGGAGGAGGTTTTTTCAAGGCAATTAAATTCCTGCAGCGCTCACAGTACTAACTTTGTGCTTTGTTCCACTGAGAAAAGAAAAAGGCGCCTGTCAATTCGGGGTGTCTCAGACAAATTTCGGTCTATACTGAAAAAGTATTGCCATTCCCGCAACACCCAGCACTGGATAAATGAAGCTGTGGGGATTGGGTAAAACGGCAGTACACAACTGCATGCTGCTGAGGCTCCCATATATAGTACAGCATGGTACCAGCATGACTGATGTCTATGGTCTCTGCACCACTTGACACCAGATTATTGCCCTACAGTTTAATACAGCCACATGCCATAAAGCAGAAGTCACACCGCATGCAGGGATAAAGCAAGAGCACAGCTCAGCTCAGAGTCTCTTCTATTCTCCTGCCTCGTCTCTCATCTCCTCCCAGGCCCGTTGCAGTGCTCGCACTGCTGAACAGCCGCACAGGCACACACATACACGTATCAGCGAGGGCCTCGGGGGCTCAGGTGCTTAGAGGTGAATAGAATAATATGGCCATGCTCTGTTTTAAGTCTACGTCAGTTTGGGTTTTCATTCTGTCCTCTGTCGTCTGCCCTCCTACAGCGAAGCTGCAGTGTGCTCTTGTTCCTGCACAGATCAGCTCCTTGAAACCTTAACCCACCATAAAAGCTGAGAGAAGTGACAGAAATGTCAGAGGGCAGTCAACAAAGGAGAGGTAACGGGAACCAGGCCTGCAGAGCTGCAGTCATTTACCCATTTTTCGCCTATATGTTTTGGACACTTTTAAACACACGCTCGCTTGTGCAAAATAGCAAAATATCATTCCTGAATCCTTAGCTGTGTATTCTGCCTCACCTATCTCTGGTCATCATAAATCAAAGACAAACATGCTCAGAACATGCTATGCCAGTGACTGTTTGGCCTGGAAACATTTGTTGGATGACATAAGGTTGATTAATTTCCTTTCTGTAGTGTTTCGGGAAATAAAACCTGATCCGAGACAGTTATATGGATTCACTAACGAGGCTGCATTTTAAATGGATTGAGGGTCAAATAAGGAGCAAAGCAGGAACAAATCAAACATGAATCCCAGTGAGTCATTTGTGAAAATTACCGTTCCTGTAATTTATGAATTCATCATGAAAAACCTGGCAAAAAGGCCTCGTGGTTCAAATTAATTTGTGCAGCCACATTCATAGTCACATTCACTCACCCTATCCATAATAGGCTGGAACACATTGTGCATATATCAGCAGTGCATTGTATTCTTGATTAGCTTGTGGTTTGCTCTCTATCAGCAAGATTTAACTTGATTCACTTGCTCATTATACTTTGATCTGTATGGTGGCCGGGGCAGAGGTCAGTGTCTCACTTCACTCATGGCAGAGGTGAGGCCTGGCTGCAATAAAAAACACCAACAGTTCAGCTTAATTCCAAATCTTTAAACCCTCACAGGCCCGCAGGACATTCTCTGTTAAGCAGTCAGCACACTCGTGCACTCCACAAGGTCCAAGGCTGGTTTTTACATTCATAGGCATCTTTATTTATGATTGTCTGTCAGCACTGACCTGCAGTGAAACCTCAGTGCAATGGTTTGGAAAATGGAAATATTTAAAATACGTCCACAACTCAAAATTTATATTATCAGTAAAAGTACAAAAGTCATAGACATCATTTGCAAATAACAGTTTTCATATTTGATCTTAAAAATAGTTTAATGGTTTTGCAGATGCACTTAGTCCCTTTCTTACTGAAAGCTAGGTGGAAATTGATACCTCACCTCTCCATATGGTGCTAAGCTTTAGCCGAAAGCTGGCTAATTTAGCTTGCAGTAAGAAATTAACAGGTTTCTTTGAAACTGAGATTCAAGCAATCGTTTTACTTTGTGGCATACCTCACCTAACTGCTGTGTCCAGCCACAATAAGCATGCTAGAATTAGGAAATCCAGACTCTCTGCTGTTCTCTAGTCAAGGCATTCATTATTGTAGGTTTTAATTATGCAAATTAAGCAATTGAAGTGCCTTGATTAAATAGAGTCTGGTGGTTGTCAGTGTCTCTTCTTTTTTTTACCTGTCCTTTCAGGAAAGGGCACTTTTCCACGAGACTTTTCATTATCTTCTCTCTGAATAACATAAAATGTGTCAAGGCAGTTAAAATGTAGGGGTAGTAGCTCGAGGACCCAATTTCAGAAAAGTTAATTTAGGCTTGACCCCCTTAGCGTGATGTCATAAAATGGTTATAATCAGAAATTCATTGTAAATGTTATGCAAAAATCGTTGCTACTGCTGCTTTGTTGAACATTCAAAGCAAGTGGACTGTGCACAAAAACATCACTGCATTGCTGCAATTGTCCACTTACACCACTGGGCTCCACAGAGCCACAATAAACAACAGCGTGGAGGGGAGAAGGGCTTTACTTCCCCGAGTTTCTTGTTCCTTTAGACCCAAACAGGAAAATGCAAAAGCTGTCTGGACTTCAATGTGTGTTAAAAGTCAGCTTTCCCTCCAGTCGCTTCATGTCTGAAAGCACATTCACTTGACCCAAACACTTTTCCTTGAATTTTTATCTACTCACTACTACTACTGTATTCAAACAATAAGTCTACAGCAGAGAAGGGGGGGGGGAGGGATGCCTGGGGACCAAGCTGACTTCCTCCTCTCAAAAACGGGACGGCGGGCGGATGGGGAGGGAGGGGAAGTGTGACCTCAGTAAACAGTCTCCGCACTCATTTTTCCCATGACGGCCGCAGACACAACACTGGCTGAACTCTAGCAGGTATCCCAGCAGGCCACCTGAATAACCGTGTTGACCTTCTTCCCTCCATGGAGGAAGTAATTTGGAAGCGATCATCCATAACTGCATCCATCCTATGAGGCCCAACAGGTGAGCAGCTCAAACTCACAAAGACAATGGTTTTATTATCCTTCACCTAGGGGAAACCTATACCATAACGCTGGTACAATAACAGCACCCTGCCATCACTGTTTGCCACCCCGGAATTAAGGCGCAATTTAGCCATCAACAAGAGCAAAATACGGGGCAGAGGGGAAGTCTTCGTCTCTTTCTTCAGCCCAGAGCACCTGTTGAAGGCCACAAAGTACTGCTGGAGGGTCCCACACTAAAAAAGGGGAGGTCAGTTCCCAGGGCAGATAATAATAGTTAGGGTTTGGCTAATGTGTGGACTTAACCTGAAACCTGACTATAGATCTGATACACTCAAAACCACCTTTAAAGATTAGACCACACATACAGGTGATTCAAACCGGAGCACAGGTGCTGTCCAAATGTTTCCTTCTCCCTTATGTATTCTGTTCCTGTATGAACATCAGGTGCAGGCGTATTCAGGGTGAACCTTGTAGAGCAGTAATCCAATCTAACTTTGAGACTTTCCCTCTAAAATGGTACAACAAAGGAGAACCGACCCTGGGGCAAAAACCAGCGCGCCACAACAACAGTGGTCTCAGGGCCTATATTTAACAGCGGTGGGAATTATGGGAGCAGCAACACAGGAACACTTTCAATGCACAGCGAAGGTCGACTGGGACTTAACTTCCTTCTCAGTCTCCAACGTGAGCGGGGCCTGCTTGTTTCGGCCCCTTCGACCCCCCCACACCCAACAGCAAAATAAAAAGATAAGCATTGTTTAGCCAAACAATAGGCCACTTTCAAAGTCTCAAAAGCTTCCATTTTCACTTCCAGAGCCAGCATTTTGAAGTCAAGTATAGCAATAAACAACTTTGCAAGTGGACTGTGAGAGCTTTCTTGGTGAAACATTAGCTGGATCTAATTTCACTGTTCATGTTTCAATGCGAAGAGCAGGTGCAGGTGGACACAAGCATCACTACAGAGCTCCTATCACTATTCTGTGGTAATAGTTACTATAATTTGCTTGCTTGATGGCTTTTTATGAAAAATTTACCATGAATTACTGTAAAGCAGAAGTGCAACTTGGGTGATCACAGTACTTTTCAATGCAAACAAAAAAAGTTAAAATGTGAGCGACAGAATGTGCTAAAAGATTTCAAAGATTACAAATTATAACACCAACCTTCAGTGAATTCTGGTCAGCCAGAGCTAGCGCTTGTTTCTTCAGCTCTGAGACTTTCTTCTGGCAACTTTGGCAAAAGCCTCCCTTCTCCTCCGACTCGGAGATGGGAACCGACCCGGCGCCCTCAGGAGGAGGTCGGCTGCTCCATTGCGCTTCCTCCGCGGAGTGAAGTCTTTTCCTGGGGGTCGCGGGAGAGTCTCCACCCGGACATCCCTCCACCTTCGGAACAAGCAAAGGTTTGGTTAACTTTTGAGGTTTCAAAAAAGAGTAGTTTGCACTTAAAAAGCGTCCAACTGTGACGGTGAAACTGTTTTGCCTGTACCTTGACAACCCGTTTGAATACAGAGCACCTGAAGTGCGCACCTCACAAAAGCTGATGTAAATAAAAACAATGCAAACTGTATTTAAGAATAAGCAAATTAGTTTTTTTACACGTAATCCTGTGCAGGGAGACACTTACAGTGAACACGCGGTTGTCATGGTCTCCACCATCAAAAGCTGAACTGCCCCAAGAGGAGCTCATTCTCCCAACTCAAGGTTGCACCTTCAGGAGAACGTCTTGAAACTCACGGATACTGTGGCTGAAAAATGTGAGACCGAGCCATAGGCTGCACCGAAGACCGGACTGAAGGTTATCAGTCATCTGTCACATCGCACCGGACCGGTGGCGACTGGGCGAAGGCAACTTGTGAGTGCGCCCCATGAAGCTCCAAAGTTGTGGAGGAGTTTTGGTACAGGAGGGCACTCAGCCGTGCGCAGGAGGCGGTGTTACTCTCCGAATGGGAGGGATAAAGAAACTTCCCTGCTCATGCGGCAATCGAGTTGTCTGTGAAGTGAACCATTATCGAATATTATACTAATTTAATTGCATAAAAACGTTTCCACTATTTCTTTATTAAAAATCTCAGTAGTTTCTCTCTCAGCTTGCTCTCTTCAGTTTATCACACGCGGATTTAAATAGCCATAGTCTAGAGTACAGTTTTAACGTTTTACAACTGTATTAAATGTAAAAATATCTTAAGAGATATAAAGAGATAAAAAAAATATATATATATATATTATATATGAAAAATATAATACTAGATGCCTTAATCACTTTAAGGTACCCAGTCTGTTATTTGGTAGGTAGGGCTATATAAAACCCTAAATTGGAGCTTAATTAAGCTAATGTCAAAGACAACATCTTACATGAATGATAATGATAATATGAATCTTCTTGTAGGGTTTTTTTTTTGTGCTTTATTCGCTTTCAGGGTGCACCGTCAACTGTTGCCTCTCAGGGAGCAGAGATGTTTGTCGCTGATGTTACTCTGGCGCCATCCTCCGTCAGAAATAAAGAACACCATCTCTCAAATTGAAGAGGGTGGGCTCTCCACGGTTAAATATTTAATTGGTAAACTTTGAATATTTCATGCGGGTGATGTAAGCGACAGTCGCCACATGCCCTGCTGTCCTGCACATAAGAAACGGTTTCTCTTTTTTCTCTCCCCATAAAAAGATTTTAATTTATTTCACTTTTTTCTCGTCCACTTCTTTTGCACAAGTCATATCAGCCAATGGTGACGTTTTAAACGTAAATATAACCTCCAATATATGTTTTTATCGTCGGCTGCAACATTTCTCGGGGCTGAAAGGGGCTTGTCAAAAGACACTGGAAGATTTATTATTAGGAAATTAAGACTTAAATTAAACAACGCACCTTGTAATAAACATTTTTTCCACACCAGCTTATAAGTCATATTTAAATATGTTGGTAAGTTGTCATTGAATTGTCTACCAAGCCTTATAGGTGTATTTTTCCTCGTTTACTTTAACAGCAGTTAAAGAGAATTTAAGTTAAGGCGCTTTTATTTGCTGCAAAATGCTGAAGAAAGTATTAATACGCAAAACTGGAGATTCTTGAAATCAGTGAATGAAGCTGGAGGTTAACAGGGATCGCAGATGCTACGAGGTGCTGCTCACGGTCCTGAATAGCGGACAGGACCCGTCAAGCGCGCATCATTTATCTGGCTCGTCACTGTTTCCCACTTGTGCAAACAGCGCTCCAGCAAGAACATGCTCTCTGAGATAGCTTTTGTTTCAAACATCCCTTGAGAAAACTCTTACCTTTGTTTTTCTCTTCAGCAGGTGACTTGTAAACCCAAATATAATGTCCGAGTCGACGAAGAATGTCCCCAGGTCTATGACGCTGGGGTTGGGCTTCCCAGCTTCGGGAGACCCCGGTGAGTTTGGTAAAGCCATGTGGGCTGCAAGTGTACCCTAGAAAATATTCCACTCCCTGGGAAACCTATTTGATTCTTACAGCCATCTATTTTATATGTCTCGTACCCCCTAAAAAGATCCAAAGGGGTTTTTAATCCGGACATTCAGTCATTCAAGCTGAGCGCTCGCACGTGTGCGTAAAATAGCCACGACTTCCAGCAGCCCAATAAGAGGGAGGGAAACAAGCACTGCAATCCATCCGGTGCGCAAAAAGGTGTTTATATCCACTGAAATACTTTTTTATTATCCATGATCTTTGAGTGCTGTTGCAGGTCTGAGAGAGAAGGAGCACCTTGTGCATCTGCTGCACTCTCATCTCATCTCCTCTCCTCTCCCCCTCCCTCCCTTCCTCTCTCCCCCTCACTCAGCCTCCCTCTCTCTCCATCTCTCTCGCTCTCTGTTCCCTCAGATAGAGATGACCTGCTCTCATAGCCGATTTGCTGGTGCGTCGTTGTCATCCCCCTGGACGAACACGTAAAACACAATGACAATCCGGCTATAACCCCTAACGGCAGACCCCCTGTAATATTCCTGTATTATTCATGTAGGGGCTTGCAGTAACGACCCAATCAAAGCTTCTATGTTATATGTTTGTCTTATATACATATATAATGTTCCTATAATCTTCCTGCAGCAGAATGTACTGCAGCTCTGTGGTTAAAGTGTTGCTGTAGAAGCCAGTCTGGGATATAATCAAATATGAGGCACTTGATTTGTTTACCGTGATGACGGTTATCTGCAGTGATAGCCAATTTTGTTTGGATTGAAACAGATCAGCTTTTGATTGATTTTACTTTATTACAGTCTGTATCGAAATCAGATCAGCTCAAATTTCCTGTGAGATGTCCAAGGCGGAAAAATCTCCCGAGTGCTGAAATTCCTGATAATTTAAGGTGTTTGCTGCTTAAAAATGGAACTAACAGTTATAACTGAGTAAGATCGCATGGTTGCCAATCACTATGCAGCGAATAGCCTCAACTCTTCGAGCAAGATGCGGCTAAGATAGTGAGATTAAGAACGAGGCCAGTGGGTGGTTTCCCTGTGATCCAGCGGATCTATTATAAAAGTAATGAGTTGTCTTTAAAAAAAAAAACAATTTAGAGACGATTAGTTTTTAGAATGAAAACAGGCGTTAAACAGAATAATCAGAGTGTTGTCCTGCCCGGGTTTAATTTACGAATATAAACCAGTTTTTCTTCTCAGACTGGACTGCACGGAAACAAACTGTAGTGATGATGTCATGCACATGGAGCCGCTCCTCGGTGAGCTACGTGTCACTGTGAAACGCGGCACCCGTGGTGGTTTCACCGAAACACTGGCTCGCATTTCTTGAAAACTGAATTCAAATTGACAAAGTATGCTTTTTTTAATGTTACAGCTGTAAGAATCCGCATTATTTCTTTTGGATTAAATTGATATAATGGGGTTAAGTGTCACCACCAAAGCCCATAAGAGCAGAAACAAATATTTGATAGGCTATATGTTGCACCTGAGAGTGCAGTTTAAATTAAGAAACACCACAGGCTGGTGTGGTATGTGGTATATTGGACTCCGTGGTATAAGACTATAACATGATTAGCTTTATTTAGCTCTGAGTTTTAAAAGGTGCCTTCAAAGCCCCTGGAAACAGCAGTACACCTGTTGGCTGAGGTTGAAATCTGTGGATGGTTCCTTTAACTTAACAAATGAACTAGCTGAGTGGAAATCATATCTTAGGTGAAATTTATCTTTAACTTCAATCGTTTTATTAGTTTAGCTCATTAGTATCAGAGCCCAAATACAGTCAACTTTTATTCACAGTGGCGGTAAGTGTAAGTGTGACGTATCTGATCTGACTGCTGGAAAGTTGTAAGGTCACCGGGAGAGAGCGGCGGCTGCATGGAGCAAAGTTTTTCTTTGTCTTTCAGGAGGGCAGAGAAGATCAAGAGTGACTCTGGTGCAACAATTATGACTTGACAGCTAAGCAGAGGGGGGTTAATCATTTGTTTTATCCCCAGAACAACGCAACTCATCACACCCGCTGTTGCGCATGCACGCGTGCATGCACGCAAACACAGACACCTTCTTTTGTGTGATGGAGAGACAGGGGTTGTGAGAAGAGCAATAACTGCAATTCATAGTAAAGATGATTTACCATGTCCGTCACCCAGCCCTCCCCTCTGGAGGAGGTCTGGGTTGAGTCTCCTCTGGCCGCTGATGAAATTCCAAAGACGGGATCCCCTGGGACTTCGTGTGCTGCTACATCTGCTGCCCTTGCGCACGTACAGGGAAATCGCTCTGGGCATCTCATTAAGTCCTCTCCTATGTCTTATCCTCTGACTGTGAGACCTCGATCTGCAGCTTCTCCCGGTGCACGGACAGACTTTGTGAGAAACGTTTAGCAAATATTGATAGTTCTTGGCGCATGGAGGAGATCAAAAGAAAAAAAGGAAGGGGGCTGTCTAAAAAGGGGAGGGGGAATAAATGGTGCACACTGCTTTCATGAATGATTTATGCAATGTAGAGTAGCCTTTCCCTTCCCTGGGAAAAAGCATTTGGATTTACTTGTGTCAGATTGTGAGTCCTTAGTTTTGGTTTTCTCATCAAACCTTTAAGCAGATAAGAGACCTGAATGCAAACCTGTGGCTTTAATTAAGTCTATCTCAGTTTAGAGGCTTTTTAAACTAATTTAGACTAATAAATGATTTAATCAATATAATACAGACGGGAAAACAACAGCCCAGGAAAAATGATATTAAACCAAGTTAAATGGGGAAATAGCTGCTCCACGCTTAACTATTTGTTGATTAAAATGTCTTACCAGCAATTATTTTTCTCTGTTTTGTCAAATTAGATAGCAGCAGATGTGATTTTTCCATATTTACCACAGTTGCAATTTTCAGTACTTTGGACAGCGACCATCCCTGCAGACGTAAAGTACACAATCCCACGCATACCCATTAGTGACAAATGGTTCTTTATTGACTTCTGAACAGCAGCAACAGTAAAGCAGTGAAAAGGACGGGTGTTACAGCAGCAGGAGCAGCAGAGCTGTTAAAAAATTTGTATGTGCGCCAGCAGAATGAAATTACTGAACCCTGAAGATTTTTACAGCTCCCCGCAGCTCCTGGATTGCAGGTGTGATTGCAACACAAGGGGGCACAATGAGAGCAGGCGACAAAGGCGTGCATTAAGGAAGAAGAAAAGCAGAGCAATTCACTCTGTCGTTTAAAAAAAATTAATTTAAAAAAAGGCAAACGTTAGACCTTTCTGGTATAGAGTCACTCGAGAACAGTGTAGCTTCTTCTCCAAAGGTGGGAGCATTTGTCGTACTGGTCAAGTGGTCCTAAACATTTCACAATTTTGTTAAAGAACTGTTGAACTGTTGAGAACCACTTAATCAGAGAGACTACGCACGTCTTCATAGCAAGGTCCGTCCTCTAAACTGCTGATCTCACTAGTGAAAGAAACAACAACAGACAGAATTAAGTTCTGTTAATCTGTCGGTTAAGGCACAAGTCAAACACATCACGACAGCAGATTTCACACTGGGCCTGATGGAGAGCAAATACGCAAAAACTAACAAGGGGTTTCAGCCAACGTGCGCTGAGAAGACTTACCTAGAGATAGTTCTTTCCTCGCGGTGGTGTTTCTTTGTGTCATCCCAGCCCAGACTGACTAACTGCAGGGTTAAGAGCTCTTTATATAGCGTTTTGGGGTTGGTTCGTACAAGCCTCACATTCAGGCAGGAATGAGGCCCGTGCAGGTCCAACCGGATGAGCTGGGTTCCACCAGTAGGAGCACGACTGGGCAGCCACGCTCAAGACAAAGATAGCAACTGCTATCACATGAACATGAGGAATTTCACGTTATCTTTGTCTTTGTAGTTTGTTTAATTTCTGATGAAACTATCAATTGTCTCACAAAGTCTTACATTGTGTGAGCTGAAGGGCTGTGTTTGGGTTTCATGTCATGTAACACCTATTTTAAGCAGATACTCTGGCTACCTGTCAGTGTTAAGATTGTATTACTAGCTTTTAAATCACTGAATGGCCAAATTATAGATGGGAGTTTCATAGACACGGCATTTCAGTGGTCTCAGAGGGACTCCGTTTCACTTGACTTTTCTTTAAAAAAAAATAAATAGGGGGAAAACCCCACTATGTTTTTAGATTAGCCTTTAACTAAACCACGCCTTTGAAAACGACTATTTCCAGCCTTTTTTTAAAAAAAAAGTTTTCCAATTTCATTTTTAAGTTTTTAAAACATTTTATTGTATGTAAAAGTGATAACTGCTCAAGAATCAGGCATGGAGCAGTCCATGTGTTTTTTATTTTTTTTGTGCAACATGGGAGCGATCACAGGAGACATTTCTCTGAAAGAAGAAATTTATTTCTGCCTCTTTTTTTCATCCACAGAACAAACTAAATCTCCCAGAGTTCCTGATTTGCAGCAGCAGAGGCAACAGCAGCAATGGAAACAACAGGATACATTTAAAATAACTAAGATGTATATGCACACACATGTAATCACAAAACATTTACGTGAATGACTCTTGCCCAGATTGGTATTAACGTTACTGAAAACCAAACAGGAGTAGCAATGTTTAACATTTCCTCATGTTTAACTAAAGTAACGAATAAGTAAATGTCATTCATTTGTGATTACAAATGTAAAGAATGCGAAAAGACATTTAAAACACATTAAGGAAAACAGAAACCGTGACACTTTAAAGCATTTATGTCTCACACAATACTCTGGATTTCCCCTTTCCATCTTAAAGAAAGAGATATGTGACACTTCAGGCTCAACAATCAGAACAAGAAACACGCTAGATGAGTTGCAAAGGTTTAAACTGCAGGTTTCTGAAATACCTGTTGTAGCAGGAGGAAATGAAAAGCTCTGGGAACAGAGGTATACTTTGGCTCAAAATGCATGGGTAGTTTGGACACCATCCAAAATAAAAATAAAATAAAATTAAAAAAAAAAAATCCTAGAATCATTTGAACTGAGATTTTGCAGCATGTCACTATAAAAGAAACAGCATAGAAATCTGTGAATGTACCCTGTACGTCCAGATATTATGCTATGACACATATATTGCTACACAAGGAGAAAATATTACTTTATATTGTAATGTTCATGTGTATATATATATAGGTTCTGCTCAAATGGCATAATTCCCTAATTGGACATCACATTTACTACATACATAGAAATAAAACATTTGATTAAAACAGTCAGCACTGTAACCAGTTTCCTTATACACAGAAAAGTCTGCAACAACTTCATGTACATACATCCACTTATTTTCTCTGGGCACCATGCCCTCAGCAGTTACACAGTCTTTTGTGTTATTAATATTTTTGGAGAGGAAGACTGCAGCAGCGATGGCTTTGAAGAACACATGCAATCAGATGACATCCAAGAAGAGAGCAATTTTGTGAAAAGTAGCCGGACGTTGTGCAGAGAACACCTCAGCAGTTAAATGGATGCCAGCAGAGGACAATTGTTGGTTCAGGTAGCGTCAGCTCAAAGTGCCGGTGGGGTAGCCTTGAATTGGATCACTCCGCTCTGCCACGGGGACAAACAGAGACAGGATTAATATGCAAGGGTGGCTGGTGTTTCAGCAGAATTCAATAAAACGCTTCATCTCCAACCACAATTACACACACAGATGTTATCAGATGTTATCTGATGTATCTCTGGTGATAAACGGGGTCTGACACACGTTTGGCTCAAATTCATGCAATAGTTGTTTTGCAAAGTGAGCAGGTTACAAATTAAGCTGGCAATTAGCTCATTTTAATCAATGATTAAGTTATTATTTAGTAAAGTTGTCAGTTCAAGTTTCTCAGAGCCAGAGGGAAACATCTACACAGTAAGGAAGCAGCTTATCCTCATGAATATTTTTCTTGATTACTTCTATTAACGATTAAATGATTTTCAACATGTATATATGTATATATATGTATATATATATATATATATATATATATATATATATATATATTATATATATATATATATATATATATATATATATACACACACACACACACATACATACATACATACATACATACATACATATATACACACACACACACACACTGCTTTTCTAGTCTAAGTGAGCACTCAAAGCGCTTTCTTACTACAAGCCATATGCACTTAATCACACACACATTCACACAGTGCTTTTCTCTATACCTAAACACTAACACTCTCATGGATGAATCAAAACTCAGGGCTCATTTTTGCCCAAGGTTAAGCTGACATGCAGACTGGATCTAACTACCAACCTTCCAGTTGGCAGATGACCTACTCTATGTCCTGAGCCACAGTCGACCCGGTTATAATATAATATATTGTTGGCACTAGGAGCTTTTCCGATTTCCTTTTGCAGTCTGCTTGTGTGTCAGTTCAACCAGTGGGATCTGAGCAGGTGTGGGTACATGCAGGTGAACAAGGTGTGTGAAGACCCAAAGAGTGAGTGCATTGACCAAAATGCTATGTGGACATAGTCACCTATCACCTGACATAAATTTAGGGTTTTAATTTGATTTTCAAAAGGAATCTATTTGTAAACTACAACTGAACAGGAAGTATGGAATTATTAAAATATACTTCTATTGGATGTCCTGGTTACACCAGAAACCCAGACCCCCAAAAAAGCCCGCTTCCCCCGGGTTTTCAATCAGCATGCTAGCTAATGGCTTTCCAGATCAGAGCCATTTCTCTGTAGATTTGGCACGTTATTCCCACCTAATTTGGTGACCATTCCAAGTGTATGCAATTCCTCTTTAGCACTTTGCGCTGAGACACACAACCCAGTGACAACAGGTCATGATGGATAATAAGCAAAAGGTATTGTAGACAAAGAAAAAAGGGAGCCAATGCAGTCATGCACAGGGTTTGATCTCATGCTGAGTATGGGGAATGTAGACACAGGGAAACACACACACTTGGGCTACATCTTTTTTACCTCTTCCTCATCATCATCATCATCATCATCATTAAATTCACCCAATACTTTCTGGAATTAAACAAAGTAATTGAGAGAAAATTATAGACAGAGAAACCAAGCTTGCCCTGCAGAAGAGTAAAGCTGAAAAATGGAGAAAACAGAGCATACCTTTGATTTTTTGCTCTCGAGTCGCAGCAAAAATGCTACCACATCCTTTTTGCTGACAACTTGTGCCTGTGACAGGCGATGATGGAGAAGTTTTTTTTAACTTTGTGAACTGCTAAGTGTTAATAAAATAGAAATATGCCTTCCTACAAACCCACCACTTGAATTGCAGTCTGCCCATCATAGCCTGGTTGATTTAAGTCTGCTCCAGCAAGGCTCCAGATTTCCAGACCATCCAGGTCACCATTGGCTGCCAGGCTGATGCACACAAAGTAAAAGCATTATTACAGCAACAGGATTCATTTCTCCAAAATCAGTATTAATATAATATTATACACTGGGCAAAGAACAGCTTGTGTAAAGGAAATTTGTGGAAAGACTGCAAAAGCATATCAATGGAACATTCAGTATTACTGAGCCACATGAGCCACAGGAGCTTGAGGTTTATCTTCATAGTGACACATGCAATGCTTATCATATGAAAGGTGTGTTCCTGAAACTGGAAATTGGAACGGTCTTAACAAAACCTGTTTAGTGTCTCGGGCAGATTAAAAAAAAAAAAGAAAGAAAGAAAGGGAAAAAAACAACACGTACTTACTGACACTACAGATAGAGAACAGATCTGAAGCTATGCTGTTAGGGAGCATTCCTACAGTTTGTGTAAGAGTGGGACAACTGGTTGCACCTGTGTCAGCTATGTAGGATGGGTCATTAGTGACGGTGGAGCAACGAAGTGGCTGTGTACAATTGTTACAATACTTCCTTTTTTGTGTCTGACCTGCACATTTCAGTTCCTGCTTCCTCCAACTCATGTCTGGAGAAATGAGCTCCGGTCTTTCTCAGCAGCTTCACAACTTCCTTGTGTCTAAGTTAGAGAGCATGTAATCACAGAGTTATTGTTACTGTATATCACCATTCACACATGCACTCTTTTCTATTAATAAAAGGGCATCGCAACTGATCACTTTTCTGTAACTCTTGCAAACCTTAAGACAGAGCTAGTAACATATTCCACATGGTACAAGTTTCAAGGAATGTAATAACACAACACAACATTGTGACTATAAATCTCTCTCTAATTGCAGTTGTATTAGGACATTAGATTATGGTGCATTTTTGCTATTCTCAATTCAAAAGTCAGGTCTTCCCCTCTCGGTGCCTGTGTCCAATCGAGAGCAGCTGTTGCAGCACACACACATAGACCCTGCTATTAATGATGGGCCCAAATACTCAGAAGTTTGGCTAGACTTCAAGAGAAGTGATGATGACAATCTCAGTTACAACAAGTGTGACGAGTCCTTTGCACGTGAACCAAATAATGCTCGTGCACTCCATCTCCGTCTCTTAGCGAGATGCCAGAGAGCCTATATCTCATTAATAAAAGGGCTTATGTTTAATAAGCATATTCGTTTGAATCAGAAGAAACAGACATAACTACCTATTAAGTGTAATTAGATATAATGCTAATTTTAAACAACATTTTCATTCACACTGTAATTTAGACTTGGAGCGAAAGAGTCTGTGTGGCAGTAATCGTCGTTTGGCAAGTACGAACAAGTTTGTTGTCCCCCGCAAAGAGCCGCCCACGCAGGAGTCACATGCAGTGATTTTCACAGTGACAAGAAATGTGCATTAAAAGCAAAGGCTGAAAAGTTTCCACAACTGACCCGCAGACTTTCTGAATAAGACCTGTGTGACAAAGCGACAGGGTAAGCTAGTAAGAGCTCAATTTTGTGCCTAATTGTTTAGCTGTATGGAGAGCAACAGCCAGAGAACCTATTAGGGACTTCCTGCGGAGCATAAGCCAGTAACTCTCATCAATGAACCGGGGAGCAAGCTGGTAGGACTGGTTCAGAGGGCACTCCCCACATTTCTTTCAGGTTTCTCTCTCTGTCCTCTCTGCCTCTCCTTATATGGGCATTAGGCTCTTAATACAGTACGAAATGTGGCTCACAATGTGCTCGCGCATCCCTGACAGCAACTTAAAACTCCACTTTTATTACTTTTGTTATTTCAGTGAAAATATTAAGAAGGGGAATAGCTGCTCAAGCTGTGCAGCACATTACAGGAAGTGTAACAACAGGTGTCTGCGCTCCAGTGCATCCCTCTGCCATCACAAAGGCAACAAGTCCACACTTGCAGCACCAACCGTTGAAAGAGATGAGCCATTTGTCGCAGCTCTGACACACACAACGTTTTCACCCTGAGGCTCAACATAGCCCTGAAATGTTACGCCTGGCTATTCCCTGACAGACGTTTAGAGCAACCTCAGTGAATGACACAAAATTAAAAATACAGCTTTGGTAAAAATAAACACTGCCTAAATTGTCAGATGACAATTAGCCTAATTAGCTTATGATTATTGCCCGGCCTCTAAACTCCATTACGAGCCCCTTCCTGGTTTCACCCTCCCCCCAGCCGCTGCTGCTTTCTTGCCATTTGAGCAAAACCTATCAGCAGCTCATGTAATGAAGTCCTCTCTGTAGCAGCTATTAAACATATTTGCAGGAGATCCTCAGATGTCTAATTGCCAAGAGGGGGGGATTTAAATTGTTGTGTTTGCAAATTCATAAATGACAATATTACTTTAACAGCAAGATACAGGCAGACACACTGGCCCTTACTGTTTCGAAACAAGACAAGTCTTACCTGAAACGCACAGCATTGCATAGGGGTGTGTCGCCATAGCGATCTTTAGTGTGGACCGAAGCTCCATGACTCAGTAGGTACTGCACCATTTTGAGGTGGCCCTCACAGGCAGCAACATGAAGGGGTGTGCGTCCATCGTAGTCCACCAGACATAAGTTACTGCCCTGTGGAAAGGGAAAATCCTCAGTGTGTGTGCTGGTGGTTTAAAGGTTAGTGTGGTGAGATGATGTATTGATTTTATTTCTAATCTATATTTGTTCTTTTTGTTTATTTGTTTTTATTTAATCTTTATTTATACGGGTAATCCCAGTGAGACTCAATGCTCAATCACAAGAGAAACCTGTTTCAGACAGCGTAACAAAATTACAAAAATAATAATAAAAAATCTCCTGAAAAAGACTAAAACTTGAGTGTACAACTAGAATGATCGAAAAGCCTTACACCACTGCTAGATTTGGGCGATGCCAAACCTGTGGCTGATTTTTTTTCCACTCATCTGAGGATCTAAAGTGCCAAACTGTTTGAGTAGCAGTCTTCAAGAATACTTCTCCAGGCTTCTTGAAGGACATTCAAAGCTCTTCTCTGGATGTTTGCTGCTTTTTGTTCCATTCTTTGTGAGGATGATTCCACACTGCTTCAGTAATGTTGAGGTCTGGGCTCTGAGGGCCAACCCATGCCTGGTAGTGTCCCACTGTTTTTTTGTTTGTCTTTATCCATGTATGCTTTTAGTTTGACAGTGTGTTTGGGATCACCGTCATGCTGAAAAAATGAAGCCGTTGCCAATCTGATGTTTTCCAATTAGCATTACATCGGATCAAAATTTGACAGCACATTTCTGTGTTTATAATTGCATCAATTTTGACAACGTCACCATCCACCGTGCTTGTATTCACTCACTGTTGTAGCTCTCTCTCGATCTCCTCTGTAGATACTGACAATGATTTGAACCAAAATTTTCAATTTGATCACTTCTTAAGACCTGCTGCTACCGATTTTAACTAAATTTCTTGTCTAATGTGGTATATCTCAGCCCTTTCTCCCTGCTTACTTTCCTTAAGAGTGGCTGCTTGACAGCCGCCCTTCTACCATTTCTGCAGAGGCTTCAGTGAACATTAGAGGGATCATCAACTGGAAGGTTTTTGCTGGATTTTCTTTACTATTTCTTAAGGACATGACTTTCAAATACTGTTCATCTGCTGCTTTTTTATGCTTGAATGATTCATGGGTCAGTGTTAAGTGGCTTAACAAATATACAAAAAATAAAAATAAACAAGGTCTGGACCAAAAATGAGTGAAAAGCAGCCAATGCCCTTACGTGAGGGCAGAATATATTTTTGAAAACTTCAAGGTAATCTAGGCAGCAGCTGCATACCAGTCAATCCACATATAGACATGTACATGCGACTGTGGAGACAACTCTAGGCTTGCCTTACCAGTCTGTCCTCTAGTTCTGCTTGTCTGAGTGCCTGCGTGTTGACTACACCGCTCTAATACAAAATGGAAGTGTGACCCTGAAAATGTTTTGAAAATCTACCAGTGGGAAAAGTTTTCCAAAGTTCAATGACCTTACAGCCAAACATGACCAGGAAAGAAATGGGTAAAATGTGTTTGGAGACTCAAAAACAGGAAATAATGATTAACTTTACAGCATGTGGTGAAGGTCGTAGGATTGCTTACCATTTCTTTTAGGGCTTTTAAGGCCTCAATGTCACCGATCTTAGCAGCGGCGCATGCCAGCGTGGGAGTCAGAGCATCTCGGATGGCTTCCAGCTCCTTTTGAAACCAGATTCCAAGAATTTTAAAACCCGCAATTTCTCTGAATATGAAAACAAGTCATCAAGTATGGCAAAATGACAAGCTCCTAATAACCTAAAGTTAGCCCCAGAGCTGAAAGTCTGCGGAAATGCACTGCTACCCTTACCTCTTTGCAGCTGACGCTTAGAGACTTGGCAATGACTTGGATGAAACGGCTGTCACTCAGGCACAGTTTGGCTCCTGCCAAGTCAGCGATCATTTCACCTCGCAGGTTCTCTGCCATCATCTGGACAGAGTCACAAAAAAATAATAATCTTTTAGCACTTTGTTACTTTAAAAGCTTCCACATAATGGAAAAGAAAGTGTTGAAAGTGCCACCAGCCTTTTTCTTCGCCTCCAGAGCAAGCTCCTTCTTGGCCAATACGTAGGACAGTTTTGACAGCGCAGCCTCTGGAGTCATGTCGCCTCCTGCTATCAGGCCGGCTTCTATCAAGACCTGTAGTATCAATCACAGGAATAAGTGACCTGATTGATTCATTCTCTCTCCAACTCAACTGAACATATTAACAAAACTGTGATTAATTACCAAGCGTCATGAACTACCTTGCCAGTGGCGTAGGATGTAGACACCGACCCCCTCAGACACTGCGTGCAGTTGATGATGATGACACCGGCATCAGTGGCTTTCTTTAACTGTTCCAGGAGATCAGGGCGGTTATCGGGGGCATTTCCGCTGCCGTAGGTTTCCAGGACCACTCCTTCCATGGGTGGCTGCAGGAAAGCCTTTACCTGGACAAAGATGAGCGCAGTTTCAGGTTATAAACACCCAAAATTTATGGCCATCTTAACTGGCTACTCAACTGTGCAGAATCAAGATGAGAAATTAGTATTCCGTGTTATTTTTCCTGCAGCCCCTTTAACTCCATGCAACCCATTCACTCTCCTAAAAGCCCATCTGGTGCCATCTCTGCAACCAGAGTATCTCAGTCACTGGTTGGCTGGTTGGCACTGGGAAGCCCTACACCACATCATTAGCCATGGCATATGACTAGAATGGCAGATGACTCAAATGGCAGAAAGGAGAGCAATTAATCTGAAGGTGTTAGCAAGCATAAAGTCACTTGGCAAGTTTGTGCCAGTTACCATAAAATGCGAGAAGAAGGTGACATTAAAAGTTCCAGGTTCACTCAGTATTTTTTGATGCGATAAGCAGTTTGACAAGAAAGGTGTGACACAGATTACCAATGAAGCTCCCGTACTGCAGAGTGCGGACACACGAGAGCCAAGTGCCTAATCAAAACGGTGCCTCATAAAAGCAGTTAAAGGCTGTAAGAAAGCCTTGATAGCAGAGTTGGGCAGTGGGAGCAGATTGAGACAGTAAAGTCGCTCCCCCAGCAGACGCTGCAGGGGGAGGTGCAGCTAAATGTTACAGTATCTGTAGCAACCCTCCCTCTTTACAGGGGGATTGGACATGGCCCATAACTCCGTCTCATCTTTCTCTGGCTTGAGCTTTGATGGCAGCTTACATGACTGGGAAAGTAACAGAAGAAGGCTAATAGCGCAATTACATTGAAGTTAACTATATTTTATTGCAGACAAAACAACAGTCTGTTACCTTTGAAGAACAGGTGATCTAGTACAACAGAAAAAAAAGGAGGCAATTACAACTTTCTCGGCTTAAAGATTTGCACCATGCCGGCAATTTTAACATACTCATTTCAGCACTTGACTGCATGTCATTTGGTTTTAATTGGAAACAGCGTAAGTAAGCTGGAACCTCTGAGGCTTAGAAATGAAGCCAAGGCTCAAGTCCAAATACTGCAGTTCCTCAAGCAGCCAAATGAGGCTGTCTCAAAATGTGAGAAAACAGACTCCCATGTTTAAAAGGACAACATTGGAGAAGACAATACGACTGCTGAGTTACATGAAGCTGGCTGTTTGTTTATGGTGCTAGTGAGTGTTTTAATCTTTTTTGTGACCTTAGCTGTAAGGTTGTACAGGGTTGCATTTAAGACTTAAAGTTATACACAACTGTCAGGGCGGCCGCTCTGAGTGATTAGTGAGGCACTCTAAGGAGCAAGCTGTTTAGTTTTTATCATTTTCATTCTTCTATCCAAATAATGACAAGCGGTAGCTTCAGAACATCTGGTAAATATTCCAAAATTACATCCATGGTCCACTTCACAGGCTACACCAGTAGCATTAAACAAAAAACGACATTTTATACCACTTTAATAAAAAGTTAAATAAAATACATTTCCCTGAAACTTACAGTAGACGCAGTGATTCCTGGGAATAGCCTAAGCAGGCCTACGTTGCGGTTCAGCTCAGTCTTGACTTGAAACTTTGCTGTGGTGTTTGCCCTCCACACTGTATCCCAGTTGACTGGCGGAAAGTTGAAGAAACTCCATTAAAAAAATAATCCTTTAAAAACAAAAAGTGATTTATTTTCTACGTAAGCAGTTTATTGGTTCCTTACTTGTAATATCCACTTCAGCAGTGGCCAAGGGGGCCAAGTTAGGAGATGAGAATGCATTGAAGCTCCCAGCATCCACTTTGGTCACACGATTCCCTCTGTAGAGTTTGTTGTAGAAATACAGGCACACCTAACAAATGCATGTTCATAAGATGAACTTAATAATTTATTTCTTGATTGATTAAATCACTAACATATAACAGAGCTAAGAGAAAACAAAGCAACAACTGGCTATCAGGGTATTACATTCAGTCAGTTTCTCTCTCACAATCCAACATTTCTAATAAGGTTTGCAGTCAATTAGCAGCTATAAACCATCTTCTTTATCTCACCTCAGGAATGACAAATTGTCCAGCAATTAGTAATGCCCCAAGTAGATTGTCTCTGCCATCATTCCTCATCTCATAGATGGGTACCTAAAGACAGAAAGTGTCTCATTTTAACAAAGCAGTAAACCCTGGTTTATTTGCTGGTTAGTTAGTGACTTGAGGATAGCAGCTCTTACCTGTGAGCCCGTGAGAATGATCGGTTTGCCCAAATGCTCACACATAAAGGACAGGGCAGAGGCTGTGTAAGCCATAGTGTCTGTGCCATGAAGAATCACAAAACCATCGTAGCTTTCATAGTTTCTCTGGGGTGAAATAAGAAAATAATTATCATAATGGAGATAATTTCACATGGCCAGATAGATTTTAAAAGCAGGATTTAAGTAATATAAAGGCACAACAACAAATTAAAAAGAGTAGCAAGTACCTCAATGTCCTTTCCAAATCTACCCCAGTCATCTGTGGTCATATTGGAAGAGTCCAATAAAGGATTGTACTCCAAGATAGTGTAGACTATCCTCTTATTTTGTTTACTCAGTCTGGAAGAGAAAACAGTCCAGTTTATCTATGAGCTGCATTCTCTATAGGAACATTTACACAAAGCCAAACAGTGACAGATTATACAGCCAATAATAAAGCAGCGGTGTTGGTCGTTCCAAGTACAAATATTCAACTTCAAAAGTTCACGCAGTCAACAAGCAATTAAAGTCTTTACTGGGATAAATTATTACGTATTATGTATTGTGGTGAACATTTAATAAAAGCTGGATCAGGTTCTGGTTAAAGGGGAGATGTGAGCTTAAAGAAGCGTAAGGGAATGTTAAAAACGCTGACTTCAAAATCCGTTTAGCTGGGCCTTCTGTCTGAGCAACAGGGCGCCAAAACCTGTTTCAGGTTTACGCACACAAAGAATTTTCAAAGGGTAAAAGGGAGGGGCAAAGTCACACAAGTTAGACAGTGCAGCACTTTAAAAGTTAAGCATTTTTGTTTAGCACAGTAGAGTCCCAATTTCCTGCACAGCTACATGACTGAACACTTACATTTATGGACACAAGATAGCTTATCCGATATATTTTGAAGGTTCTTTGGTGACTCGTATCATGTTGGAGCAAAAGCCTGTATTTCTTTTTCATTGCAAATAATAGGGAGGGAGTCTTTCATACATACATATTTATGCTGCCTGTAAGTGCAGTTTAACGCAGGCGTCCCACAGCCCCACCTGCCACGCTCCATGTAAGGCAGCGTGACTGACTGAAAAGCCATGAAGCGATTTTCTTTTTAATCTCCCTTTTAAAGAAACACCGTAGAACACCCCCCACATTACCATAGGGCAGCCTTATAGCATAGAGATAGGAGGTGAATGGAACAGCAGGGGGAAGAGCGGGTGAGCCCCAGTCCATCCAAGCAGGGGTCCTATAGACACTCTACTAATTAGCCTCAAGTCGACACATGACCCAAGAACATATGTTGTCGATCTTCTAGAAGAAAAGTGCCTAAAAAAAAACACTATTCAAATCACCAATTATTCATATATCTGGCAGTGTGTCCTAAGGTTTAGCAAAGCTACACATTACCATACTCATGCTAAGACACTTCATATGCTCAGAATAATAAACGCATGGAAGGACGCTGGAGGTGGAAGCAAACAGCCCTGTGGCATTGCCTCTCAACATCACATGAATAAAGCTTTGCAGTTAATCAATAAACCAATTCCCCTCTGAAATAATAGACGTAGGATCAGCTCTTGAATAAGATCAACGGTATGCCTATTAAATTTGCATGTGAGTTTAATTCAGTTGATATGAACACTGCAAACTCAAGGATGAGCAAGTGTTAAGACATGCTGAACACCTAAAAACATTCAATCAGTAGAATATTAATGAAAAACATAAGAAGATGGCATATATATATCTCACAGATAATAAAATAACGAAGTTCTAACAACCTATCTTTAGAAAATACTTACCATTTCAAGGGCCATAGATACCTTGATATCTTTACTATAATACAGGACTAAACCCACTTTCATAATAGCAGTCAACATGAGGCCAGAGAGGAAATTAGTGTCTCTGGAAAAGGCTACTTCTACTGACGATGAAGACCCTAAAGGGCTTGTCAATCGGCTCCGAGCCCAATTCACTCAACTGCACACAAGCATGACAAAACAAGACAAAATAAAGTTAAACATGCAACACTGCAATCTATCTTTTGCTTATATCAGGAACGAGACGCTGTACAGCTGCCTTGTTAGTTACAGAGTTCAAAATTAGCCGGAGTAAGAGACACAGAATTACTTCAAGCAACAAGCAACTTTTTCCAACTGCCGAAAGACACGTAGGCATGCACTTCCCAACAGGGAAGCACACCCAAGCAAGTGGTGTTAAGTACAGCAGAGACATCAAACCAATCTCAAGCAGGGAGAAGTCAAACACAATGCAACCAGTACTACAACACCCGTGAAAGTGCAGGTCGGGATGGGGCGCTGGCTTCCTGTTAAAGTGACAAAAGCGGTTAAGGGTAATAAAAATAAGTGCATCTCTTAACAGGAATGTAACTTGTTTTATTTTCAGCCTCTGCTTTTCCAGATAGGAAACATATCTTGCACTGTGTGCAGTTACCATCTTGGGCAGATCCAAGATATAGGGCGATTTAGCCTGTATAATGAATGCTCTTGCAAAAACACCTGAAATACATTATATCTCACTGTCCTCAGGACGGTCTGCACATACTATAAACACAAAGTTTGGATCTATAAAGATCCAAATAGCTGTCAGATTTAGCCATTCAGGAAAAGCACTGCACATTAGATGAAGTGCAACATTTTTTCACTGTGAAGTGAGACGGTCTCAAGTTAAATAAATGACATAATTAATGTAATAAATTAGGTATAAAGGAAATAAAAACACACAGGATTTCAAACTTTTAGTTCAAAATAAGCAACATTACAAATTTACATGCGATCCTTTTCTTTGTTGTTGACCTACTCTTGCTCTGTCAGTAATACAGGCCTCACAAGATGCTAATAATGAAGACAAATTATGAGCTAATGCCTCATGGCTGTGACAACAGAAAATACTGTTAATTTTCTGTTTTCAAATAAGGATAAGGAAACATGTTTAAAATATTACAAACACAGTTATGTAGTCTTCCTCTGATACATATGGCAACCAATAGTACAGCATGTGGTTTCTTTTTGTTAAATACAGATATATATATCTACATGTTGACTAATGGGTGCACTTACGGCAGGACCAAGGTGTCAGATCCATAGTATTCATACATGCGGGTCTGGTGAGCATATGTCTCATCATGGAGGATGGGCAGCTTACGCAGGCTCTTCACAAAAGCATTGGCTTGTGGGGCAAGAACTGTAGGTTAAAGAGCAGAAAAACAACAGAGATATTTAATGTTTAACAGTTTGCTTTTAGTAGGATTACTATTAATAGAAAGCGAGCACAGTGGATATGCTGTCATCTCAACACCACAACAACACTCTCATACTGAACCCTAGTGGTTATTGTAAAAAATAACATTATGGCTGGAAATACACTTGAAGCACACTTTTAAAAACACATGATCTTCTTGAGTATAACATAAAAGGACAACATTAAATGTACTATTAGAAACAATAACACAAAGGTTAGGAGACAGAATATAATATGGACATGCAATCTTAACTGTCAAGCAAAATAAACACATACATTGAACTCACACAAATAATACAGCTTTAAACTGGCAATCTGAATAACTGATGATTATCATATTTCAGTTAACAATCATTTTTGTCCGGCACATGGCCTCACATTTGATTTTAGTATAGTTTAGTATAAAGAGGAGTTCCTGATCGTCCCAGTGAGTGAAAGGTTGCCTACGTACTGTGACTGGAAAACAAACCCAAATCATCACCCCTCCACCACCGTGCTTGACGGTTGGTAAGGTGTTTGGGTTGATATGCTTTGTTTGGTTTTCACCAAATGTGGCGCTCTGGATTTAGTTTAGTTTGGTTTGTCCAAAGGACATCGTTCCAGAAGTCGTGTGGTTTGACAAACCTAGGCTATACTGCCATGTTCTTTTTCTGGAAACCCTTCCAAAAACGCCATATTTGTTCAGCCTTTTTATACTGTACAAACAAACTTAACATTGAACACACTAACCAAGACCTGTAGCATCTGAGAGGTAGCTCTTGAGTTTTTTGCAATTTCTCTCTTGCACAGTCTGACTTTGGATTGAATTTGCTGGGGATCCAGGCATCTGTCTTGAATGTTTTCCACTTGTGAATAATCTTTCTTACTATAGAATGATGGAATGATGGGCAGCAACAATTCCTTCTCTAAGATCATTCATATTGTGTTAACACAAACTTAATCCTCCACAACAGCACTTCATGATGATCAATTAATCAAGTGCAATTTGTCAGCAGTGGCTGGCTCGTAGTTTCCCTCTAAATTGTACGGAAGCAACAAGGGTGTAGTTACATTATCACAGGGCTGTAAAGAAGTCGTGTGAAAACTATTTTTCATATGACTGTATATTAAGGGAGCTGACCTACAGTTAAGTCCATGCAATTTTTGTTATTTGAGCCTTTTATCAAAACATATTCAAGTTACAATTGCAACCAATATGGGCTTAAAATATGACTAAAGTAATACTTTCAGCTTTAATTTGAGGCTGTTTACATCCAAACTGTAGGAAGAGTATAGTAATTACAGCTCTAACGGCATAATGTATTTGGAAGCAGTTGCTATAAAACCCACAATATGTAATCAAAGAAGCTCTCGATTCAAAAACCAGACCATCTTTAGGCTCCAAAAAAAACCCATCATAGAGACAATGGGGATATTATAAGTGGCCAAATCAAAAGTGTGGGACATCCTAAGAAAAAAGGATACACTGGTCAGCTCTGTAAATAATAAAAAGGCCTGGACCCCCCACAGATCACCATAGCTGTGAATGGTCACAGCATCTTTTCCATGACAAAGAAGAAACCACTTCAGAAAATCCATGTAAATGAAAAAGACTCTCCAGAAGGCAGGAATATCATTATCCAAGTCAGCCATTAAGAAAAGACCTCGGAAGACCTTCATCACAAGCTCCAAACTATTCACTGCGTTCAAAACAGAAAGGCTAGAATTAGAGTGATGGAGAAGGCTTGGAAGCATGAGTCGAGCAAAACAACACAACGAAGGCAGTGTGTTGGCACTGAAAAGATTTCAGTCATTTACTAAGCTACAATGAAGGATAGTTACAGTGTTTGATGTAAGTATAACAGTGTCATATCAAATCTATAAAATCATTTTATTCTTAATTTAATGTCTAAGGAGTGTATTTAATTTAACTTTTGTTTATCTGTTGAAAAACAGACCATAAAGAACATACCTTGGCATAAAACTGAGGAAAAACTGGTTTTGGGTGTTAGTGACATGAATATTGATGAAGCCTGAGCTGGGAGAACGCCAGGGTGTGGGGAGAGATTAGATGAGGAAAAGATCTTTCTGCTGTGGTATAAATCCTGTGATCACTTGTCAATATCTCAGTTGGTCAACAAACCACCTTGATCTACTGTACATTGCGACTGATCTAGCACTGTGTTTTATGAGTTCACTCTGATTGTTGGGCTCTATTTAGCTATAAGTATAATATACGTATAATACAAGTGTGGATGATGACCCTCGCCTAAATGGCTTTCCGGCTGCTTTTTTTCTTTTCTTTGCTACCAGAACGTGGATGGTATATATTAGCATATTATCTTATGCTATGTTATACCCCTAATTAAAGATTGTGAAATTATTATGTAGTTTTAGTTTGTATTATTCTCCTGAATTAGAAGAAGGTGATAACTATTACAGTTATTAAACTGATTTGTATTGCATTAGACTGCTGATTCTGTGTGAATGAATGATATTGTTTTATGATGCATTATACTGCTGAGTTATAAGAAACACTGTTTTCAGAGAGTCGGGACCTTGCTTTTTCTGATAGTAGAGGAGACAGACAAGGCCATAAGTCAGGCTCGCTTGGAGTTAGAAAGAATGTGAATGTTTAGGTTTTTACAACTAGCTGGGGGCCACTAGAGGCTATAAGAGTTTGAGTAATCCTCCACCAGTTTGAGATTTTGCTGTGACCCTCTTCATGCATGTCTCCCCATCCGGATGGTTTGTGCTCATAAAGTGTTGAATTGTATGTAATAAAGTAATTGTTGATTGAGCATTTATCCACAGAGTATTGTCCTTCCTTCAGCCCAAAGGTCAAAAGAATTGGGAGGATTTAACAATGGCCTTGTAACATTCTCATATCTACTCTATTGTGTACAAAGTAATGAAAGGTATTTGTCCAAATATAGTTAAGGCAAGTTCAGCTTATTTAGAAAATCCATAACATATAAGAATATTTAGTTGTATTGCAAATGTCAAAGCAATGAATAAACCACAAACATGAGTAGGTCGCTTATTATGGATTGAAAAATAGGGACAGGTGGTTTTTAAAAGTCCGAATACCGCAGATGTTGCACAGTAACTAATGTCAACATTCAGTTATTCATTGAGAGAACCTGTTTTCACTGTAGTACGTTTGGCGTTGGCTGCTCTCCTGTTTCGAAACTTAAGTCTGTTGTAAAACCCTGAATCATGCGCAGAGTAAATACATCTGATCTCAACTTTCGTCTTTGCATTTCTGTTCACTAAAACCAAGCTTCATTTAGCATCTTCATTTCCATGTTCATTCACAAGACCAAGACAGTCTGCTCATGTGTACACCGGTGTAGTTTATTTGGAAGGTCGCCAGTCGCACATGGCATCAGCTGTGTAGGTAAGCTGTTTACCCCAAGTCTATTTTCGGATGCACGTGCAGATTGTTGTCACGCCTCGTGTTCAGACCCACATGCAAACATGCAATAAGAGGAAGCCACCGGCTATGCTAGCTAACTGCTACAGAGGAGAACAACGAATAATTGATGACAATGATTGCCATAGCTACCGTCTTCATGAAGAGTCATGCCGATAGTTCCTCCAGTATTGATAACGAGGACCCGCGCCTCCGCGGCGCAAGGTGAGGTTACCAGGTCGGCGTTCTCAATCGAGTTGCAACTGGACAACTTTCTCCTTCGTCCTGGATGAAGCTGAAGACTTCGTGGAGGGGAAACATCATTAACTTCTATCAGATCCAGAGATGGTTGTGACAAAGCCCGCGCGAGAGATGTGAGGCCATTGGTGCTGGAGTCCGCCATGATGCTTTTCGAAAGCCCCGGCGCTGTCTCTTTAAATGCGGTAGCTAAGAAAAGTGTTCAAAACCCGGGTTTCTTTATTGTTAGCAGGGTTACATGAGGATCGTCTGCCTTTATACACGGAGAGCGGCTTTCGTCGTAGTTAAAACGGCTTAGTAAACAGAGGAGGGACTCATTGTTACCGTTATGTTTTAATTTCCCCACCCACTTAAACTCTTCAACTTCTCGGACTCCTCAGAGCGCACTCTGACGTCAGTGACGTGGGCGTGTTCTGCACGAGTCTCTCAGTAATAAAGTTTTGGTCTTGGTTCAAGGAATTTTTATTTAGGCTGATCTACAAATTCTACGCAGTGAAGAATTCTGTAGAAAAGCTAAAGAATGACCTAGATGTAAACTCTTTATGCGGACAGTCTCCTGCTACCGTGTGCCCATCATGTTCACGTTTTCATATCTTTATATGGAAATATTTTATTTGGCTGATATGGTTATGATTATATTATGAATTATAACCACAGCAACCAATATTGAGAGTACAATGACACTCTCACCCCCTTTTCCTGTTCCTGCTGTTACAACATGTATCATGCTGGCGATTTAACTTACGTTGTTACTTAACGGTTTGCAATAAAGTTGTTGAAATATACTGTGTCTCTTGAGTGTAGAGTACATTTGTGAGGGTGACTTTTGCAATACTTAAATAATAGTTACATAAAATATGGTATGTAACCTTATAGCCTTGTAGTTATGTGTATACAACATAAATCCCTCGCGCCACACTAAAAATCTTCTGGGTCAAAACCAGCACCAAACGGATCTTTTTCTGTTATAAAGCTGCAGATGCACATTTTATATCACTATCAAAGTAGTTACTGGAGTAAAGCACTTTGTGTGGTACTATTTTAGTAGTCTTAGAGTGTGTTACCTTCAAAAAGGTTAATGTTTGTACTTCCAGGAAAAGATTTTGTGTTTCTGTGTATGGGGGTGTGTTTGGGTGTGTGGAGGTCAAGCAGTGTCCAAATGCAAAGCAGTTCAAAACTTTTCTGTCTTCCCTAAATGACTGCTGCTTGCATGCTCAAACTAATGGAATAAAACAAAACAAACACAGTTTTAGGGAGGAACTATAAAAGATCAAACCTAATCGATCCTTTTGACGTACACTGACCTGTCTTCTGTTTGTCATCCCTTTCATTTCGGCTCCATGAGGGCCCCAAGGGCAAATAGCAGCTAAACTGTGTTTTCCTATTTGCACAGTGGGTCTATAAACCTGTGTGAGATAAGATTTTCAGAACAAGGCTGATGATAACTGCTGTCGCTCTTCTCACCTTGATAAGAAGCAGTTTACATAATAAATGTATATATTTTCATACAATTCATTTGGATCTCCTGAACAATTATTTCCACGTGTAGAAAAACTGTTCTGATAATAACTTCCAGAACAATTCGACCTTTACCATTAAAAGCAATTCTTACAGGTAGTAGCTGTATATTGGAAGGAAATCTTACCATTACAATTATTGTGTATTGTAATGTATTGTAATCCTTTTTGAAATGTTATCCATCCATCCACCCACAGTTTCTTTTACCTGTTTATTTAATTTGGGTACTCTGTACTCAAAACAGTGCAGTAAAATGCACCCAAACAGCATGAGAACTAATTATTATGCCATTTTTATTTAGTTGTCTCTTTTATTTAGTTTGTTTTTTCACTGTGCTCAAGGGGCCTGAGTTAGTGAGCACAGAGAATGCAGGCAGGTAACTTCCTTGTAAAGCTCCTCGCAGGCACATGGGGGGAGAAACACCCTCTGGCATGTGTGTATTTCAGAGAAATGTCTGTGTGCACCTTTCTCACAATGTGGGCTCATAAATGCGGAAAGGTGCCTTTGCCGCCTGTTAACCTGTATGGGAAGCTTTGTTTTGGGTACAATATAGAAAAGAAGGAAGACATTAGCTTGACATTTTCACTGCATATTTTATTTGGTTATTTCAGCATGCACTATCTGACACAGACAAATCGGGCCCTTTTAAGTTGAAACTGTGAGTGTGATGACGCACATGATTAATAGAGGGTCAACTTCCTACGGGTCAACCACAAGGATGCCTGGCACGCTCCACTTTTTGGTTTGAGAGCTAAAGAAAATACATTTGGAGTTCATTTAAAAAACGTTTACTGTTTTATAGTTTCTGACTCTTATGCATGAAGGTAGATTCCTATGATCATTAGGAGGACACTGTGTTGTCAAGGAGTCCGGACAACTCAGTTTCCTGCCTTCTGGATAATTTTGTGCAATTGTTCCAATTTGTGCAATTTCTGTTTTTTGTTTATTTATTGCCCCAATAAATATACATGCATCATGAAATTTATGCATATTTTTAGTATTTTTTTTTTTAAATTAACATTTAAAACTCGGTTGTAAAAGAAGTGTGCGCTTACTGAAATTTAATGTGCATTTATTATAAATTTGTGATGATGCATAGCAGTGTCTGTTATCTTGATGTTTTAACAAAATACCCTAGTATCAGGCCTTTGACATAAAATCAGTTTATATGTTTTAAGAGCAAAGTCTGTGTTAAAATAAATAAATAAATAATAAAATGACAGACTGGAAAAAAAGGGAAGGCTATAAAAACACAGATTAAAAGCTTTGGGATAATCTATGACACACAAAATAATGCCACGGTGAACTGCAGTTTCTTTCAGCTCAGCACAATCTTCAGAATAAAATCTTTATTTTTAGAACCCATCTGAAAAGAATCATGGATACTTCTGTTGCATCTACTCCTGTAATGCACTGTATACTGGAGCTATTCAGTCATCTCTTGCTCGTCTACAATTAGACCAAAATCCTGCAGCCAGATTACTGACTGGGACACAAAAGAGAGTTCAGATTACTTCAGCCTACAGTGGCTCTATGTGCATTAGAGAGTGTGGTATAAATTGGTGCTGTTTGAAATCAAAACAGTAAAGTGTCTTGTGTGTGCCTTTGCCGAGACTGTGGAATGATCTTGCAAGTAACCTCAGACAAGCATCAACGTGACTATCTTGAAATCTGAGCTGAAAACAGACCTGTATGTCAAGCTTCTGGAAGCAGCTGATCTCTGGAAACGTGGATGGAGCAAAAGTTCTTGTTGTGTTACTTTATGTAAATACCTTGTTTCTTCTATTGTAAAGATTTTTGGTTTTAAATGTGTTATATAAATAAAATCGATTAACTTACTAGTAAACATGAAGCTGCTTCATAAAGTATTCAGAAAGGTTACTGAAGAGAATTAGAATTAATTAGAGAATTATTTTTAAAAAATAAATGAATAATAATAATAATAATAATAATAAATTGCACAATACATTTTTAAGCAGTAAAATGCTGGATGTAGCAAATATGATCCAGAGAAGGTTCAATAAACACTCCATTTAAAAAATAATAATCATTTTCTGGGAATTATTTCCTGGTTCGGGCATTACAGGGTTAAGTGTTTTAGCTGAAGGCAACTGGACTGGATATTTAACCTAAGTGGGGATTTTACCTTGAAGGTGGTGCTGCAGGTGGTTGACCCAACCTGTCATCATTGAGTCATTAAGGTCGCAAGGGTCAAGGTGTGAGTGGGAGCTGAATTGCCTAAGAAGAGGCACCAGATAGCCGACATCTCATAGACGGCTGATAGTTAGTATGACAGACCACAACCCATGTTCAGTGCTGGCCACTCACAGTGGACATAGACGGCCATCTTTACTCATCTCTCTCAAACCAACTGTCTTCTCCGTCTAAAATGTGAACATTTAGTAACCTCTAAGGATATTTCCTGTCCTTTAAGTGCTACTGAGTCCTATCCTGAGGTCCTGGCTCTGCTATGTCGTGCATGTGTCTGTGGTTATTCTGTTGTTTCCTGGGCGAGTCTGAGCACTCGTCACTGCATTGCACTTCTTACACAACATTGTTCAGCTTGTGTTTAGGTCCACCCAATTTGTCCTGGGTTGAACCAGTTTTTGTCTGAAGGTTTGCTGAGTACACCAGGATCTTATGGGTGGAGAAGATAAATACTTCATTTCACATTGTAATTCATGGTTAATTCACACAGTTACTGGTTACAGTTACTTCACAAACAAGTGTAAACGCCATAAACAAAGCGTCCCTCACATTAAACTGATAATACAGGAAAATATCTCTGATGTTGGAATTTCTTTAGTTTGTTCCTGAAGTTCAACTTTCCTCTGCTTTGTATTCTGTTAGCCAGCTTTAGTCAGCTAAGTCCAGTCACGTTCATTTCCAAAGCGCTTTCACATTAGGTGAACTCAGCTGAAATGAAAGAAGCAGTGGATGATCGCCTCCTCCTTCCCATTCAGTGAAAACTCAGAGCACCTCCTTGGGGTAAGGAGGTGATCAGGTTAAGAAGTGGTTCTCCTTCATCATGGAGAATCCCAAATCAATGGGCATGTTCCATGAAATCTTAAAATCCCTAGCCTGTAAAACAAGGATGCTACCAAATTAAATCAATAAATAGCAATATTTAATGGCCATAATGTAAATAAAATCAGGATTCCCAAAATACTGCTACATTATTTTTCATCATGACTTTATTTTATTTTTTTGTTTCTTTTTTATAGGGTTATTGTTTTAAATGGACATGCATAAAAATATAAACATTTTTATCTGTATTTATAAATTTCATACTAGGGAGGAGTAATGCCTTATAAATGATAAATTGGAGCCTTACTAATGCCTTAATAGTTAATGGTGTGATATTTTTATAAAGTGTCACTCCTTCATTTTTCCTTGAATGCTACTCCCACTGAGTTTCATCCATAGAATGGCAGTGATTTTTGTACTGCAGGCAAAGTATTTGGAGTTTTGCTTAAAGAGTTGATTTTTAACCAGACATTCCTTCTTGTTTGCTAAACCCCAAGCAAGCTTTCATGTGACCTTTACTAAAAAAAAACATTATTCTGTCTAAGGCCTGTTTCACACGACTATGAGATTCTTGAATCACCTGCCTGACCATGGGTCTGATTACTTACACAGTCTGGGCAAATGATCAAATCTCCAGAGTTACTGTGGTTTTAAACACTGTTCATTTTACAATTAAAAAAGGACCATTGTTCTCCTAGACTATTTTATAGACAATTTAAAGTGTACAAGTTGATGATTTTAACATCTAATAAAATCACTGTGCTTTCATAAACTATTTCATTAAAGGTTTAAGTACATTTGTCAGTGCAGACAGATATCAGTGGTGCACTGTGGATG